TCATCTCCAAAGCTCTACAGCCCAGTGATGAAGGCATGCTCCTCACAACAGAAATGTCTAACTTTGATTCCAAACTCTGAATAAAGCAGAGTGGGTTATGAATGCAGGTTTCTGGCATCTTAGACAAATGCCATATAATGAAGACAGGTACAAGGCAAGTCTTCTTCATCTGTATTGCTTGTAAGTGACAGCTAAATTCCCTTATGAATCTATCCTCTTTGCTTTCAAATTAAAATGCAAGAAAGAAAATGAGATTATTTACTTAGGCCAAACAAAAACTTTAAACTTGCCTAAAATCAAATCACTGATATCCTTTAAAATGCCAAGAAATCTGGATTTCAGAATGACCAAAACTTTTGTTTATTTTTTTAGGGGGAGGGTGTGGAAATAATATTTGCACTACCATCACTGTGAGGTTGGAACATGCTTTAAAAGCTTCTGGTAACAGGTACCACACACAGGGAAGTTGCATGTTCAGTCGCATGCATTTATACTACTTCTGGAACGAAAACATTAGCTGAAACATCAGATTTTTCCTTGCAGGTACTGTCTGCTTCTACTAGTTTAACCTATATTCACTCTCCAGTGGCATCATATATTCTGTATTTCAGCAGCTTAAAAGGCTGGAGTATGTTGCTGACAGCTGGAGCAGGCTTAGAATATCAAGCCTTTATCTAAAATTAGCCGCAGGTATTGTTTTATCATTAATGTCTTTGTAATTTGGAGACAGATTCCCAGAAACACACTTCATGCCAAGAAAAGCACAATGGGACGCTGGATTAATTTGGGTTGTTGTGTTTTTTTTTTTTCCTGCCATAACGCTAAGAGTGCGTAACATGCACAAATAGCAAAATGATGGATTAATATCCCTGTGTTGGTCTTGAATGAGCTCCTTTTGCACAACTAAACTTTAACAGTGACCTAGCCATCCAAGCGCCTACCGCAGCAGCATCACTGCGAGACAGCTCAACGATAAGAGCACTAGGCAAAGACTGAGGCTACGGGCACACAAATAAGCTCCATGAGCTTGCACTGCAGCCTTGCTCGTTGGGGAGAAATTACCTTATACTTTCGTCCTGTGAAGAGCGTGCCCTTCAACCACCAACATGCCACAAGGCTACGGAGTTTTGGTGACATGCTCATGCGTGCATGCCCTGAGGAGATTTTGGGATCAAGTTGCCCGTGTTGTGTCAGATTTCCTCTGTAAGTACTAAGTCATCTCTTCTGCCCTGTGCTTTGGATCCCCAATTGTAAAATGCTCGTGGCAACGTTCACAAGCCACTCAAACGCCACGGGCTGAAGGCTGCCAAATAGATATCTGAGCATCTAGAAAGAACTCAACTTCAGGTTTTTGACATAAGCAAAGACTGGCAACCAGTCAGAAGTGTATGGTGATGTCAGAAAGCAGAGCCTGTTCAATTATCAGGTCTTGGAAGCATTCACAGGATGGCTATAAAGGACCAAAGCCTAGCTGGCAAGAAAAAGCAGAGGAGAAATTAACTCCTTCATTAGGATCTAGAGGTAAAACAAACAAACAAACAAATAAAACAAACTCTGGAAAGCTTCTGAGAACTTTCTTTTTATATTTTAGGTATGCTGAAAGTGTGAGAACAAACTCTCAAGGGGCAGCTGGCTTGTCTTTACTGCCACATCCAATAAACAAGCAACCGAGTACAATATACTCCATCTTGTTTGTAAGTCTCGATGGGACATGAGCACTTCTCTGCAGGATGAACTAGTTTAGTAATCAACTACATCAATGAGAGTAACTCAGCACCCCATCTTCTGTCTGAATGACAGTGTGTGACTGCAACTCTGAAACCTATCGGGATTTTTTTGAGGTTCAAGAGCTACTGCCTAAGGCCACTACCCTCAAAGCTGGGTCCTATCAATGTTAATTTGCTATCATAGCTTGAGTCGCATCACTTAGACCTCCAGGATCCCAATAATTGAGTATCGGAGTGTATACAGAAGCAATGTGTCTTATCCTCTCCTCAGACTATCAGTTCTCTGTTTGCACATCAAAACACCATGAGGAGTCATAAGAGTGCCATGACAATAGCACATGATTGGATAGATTATAGAATGTAAGTATAAATATATCAAGAGAAAAGAAAAACAATTACACGCTGTTCACTAAGTTTAAACACCCTTTCCTTCATGCCTTCTTCATTTACTTGCTGTAAGTGGTAGCGTCCAGCCATACAGCAGGTGCTTTGCCTCTTGTTTCACCACCACCCCAAAACAATCCAAATATAATTAATGAAGTTCTATATCATAATCCACTTCCTTCGGAGCAAACCAAACTAACCCTCTGTGTTATTAAACCATAATATTTTTTTTCTCCTAAAATATGGAAAAATCATGTTTTCATTTGTTTTTAATATAAACATTGCCGTTTTGGTGAAACCATGACAAAACGTGTGATGCTACATTAAAGACAGCATTTATGGGCTAGATTCTATCCATGACAACTCTGACTCCTGCACAAATTTGGCATCTGGTCCTCTGGTGCCACAAAGCCCTAGAAATGGGCCATCAACTCACAGGAGTTTCCTCTGATGCAGGCAGATACAAAGACTATAAAAAAGTACTGCATTAGCTTTTAAACCCTGTGAGCTACCGTCTGTGAGAGACAGAAGAAAACATTTCAGGTGCAGACCTCTTTCCATCGCAGCAGTTCTTACAGGTTCCCCTCCTACCAGGCAAGGACTATCAGCAACCAGACAGGTTACCGTTTCAGTGAAAATCAAAGCAGTTTAAGGGCTAGTACATCTCGAGGTGCCTGCCCAGCCTTTAGAAAACCTGGAGGAAGGTTTAACGTACCTCAACTATCTGACAAGATTATTGGCTATAGCACAATACCTGATGCATCACCTCTAGCATCGTCTCTCTTCCTTTGCCTGACATTCAGATCTGCTTAGTGCTCCCCAGGGGTTTCTAGATGAGAGCCTGTAATCTTGGCAACATTAGATCCTTTTCTTTTTCCTTTGCTCACTGTGCTTCCATTACGTATTATTCTGAAGCTCAAAGATCTTTTTGTATTTACTATCAACACAAATCCAGCCCAGAAATATATCTAATGGATTAGAACTGAGAACCCGATCTGATAAATCAAAATATGCCCAGATATTTATAACAGGAAGCAACGGACACATCAACAGGAGAGTTCAGTCTGCCGGCAACCTTAAGGTAACCCTTCAGTGCCCTCAAATCGCTAAGTCATTACACCAAGCTCACATCCTGGGTTGGGTTGACCTTTATGAGATCTAATCAGGCTAAAAGGAGAGCAAATAAAAACTGCAGTGGAAAAAAAAAAAGGGTAAACTACTTCATAGGCTAACTATAGGCTGCCTAGATCTTTCATTTAAAGAATATTACCTCTCCCAGCTGCTTGTGTTGCCCCTCACTTGGAAGTTAGCTGCAAGTGTTTGTAAAAAAAGAAAAAAAAAAAGGTCTGAAATAATCAAAAGCTGGTTTTACTTGGAGCAAGTTAAGAAACGCTCGTATGAACCAGCAGAGCAGCCAAGGAGACAAACAACGTGTGGGCGTAGTGACGTCCCTCATCGATACAACAAATTCAAACATTCGGATTCCTTCTAAATTAGTTTAACTGAAAGGTCTATTGTATCAGATTTTTTTAAAAAAAGGCAGAATTGCTTAAATATGATTCTGTTCTTCACGCTAAAACCACAGATCTGTATGTCCATGCAGGTCACAGAAGTCAGGGCCTTTCTCACACAGTAAGAGCTACACATGTTCTCTGTCACCTTCTCTAATTCTTTTTCAGCTCTTCCAAGCAGTGACCCTGTCATGTACTTCATTACATTTGGCAGTCTCCAGTGTGTTAAACAAACGCAGCATGAAACACATTTAAACATGAGCAGCAGAAGGGAATTTTCTACATTTGAACAGTCCAAGGCAATACAGTCTCCTTTTCTGCTCCTGCTTTTTACAATAGCCTCACCTCATATATATCATCTCTAGAAAAAGATGTAAACTTCAGATCTCAATACATTCAGACATCAAGGTATCCAAGCCCTGCCAAGCAATTCTGGGAGCTGAGTTTGTTTCTTATTATTTACATTGCTGAAGGACTGATCAATCATTTTAACATACTATGAAATCAGGGTTTTTTTCTGTACATTGAAGCTATGCTTATATATCCCGACTGTCAGTAAGACACATATCTGGAGCACTGCCAGGCTCTTCTCCAACTTGCTTTGTCTCCCTTTCTATTTTCTGTATCATTTATTTTTAATACATACTTTATATTATCAATTTAACATATTAATGTATTAACTAACTTTAAACCTTTCATTTTCAGATAAGTGCTAAGAATTAAAAGACACTCTGGAATACCACAAATCAAGATCGATCCTTCAAAGTCATATTCAGGGCTTTTTCAAAAATTAGTCTTCACTCACACAGTCAGACCTTGCATAAAGGTGTATAGAGCAGCAAAACCAGTCTTGTCTCTCCCTCTCATTAGATATTGGTGTGATATAAGTTGCACCTCCAATCCAACAGCCCATATAGACAGGGAAGTGCCATTAAAAGGTAACCACTTCATAGAACAGAATCCCATGCCAAATCCAAGTACAAACCTGCCAGTAGCAACCCCCAGGATTTAATATTCTGCTATTGCAACACTATCTATTCTTACTCCCACTTGTCTAACTCATGAAAAATTAGAAATTGAATCAACGATTATTCCTCATATCTTTTTTGCTGGGTCTTCTCCTAGTCGATCTCCCCACACACTATATTGTACATTGTTTAGCTTGTAGCTTTATCTTTGTATTTCAACATTCAAAGTTTCTAAAAGTGTTAAATTCAGACTTCTAGGTTTTGCTCAGGAATGAGATGTGACAGCAATTTCCTTCCAGGAGAAAGGAAGATGAAATAACTTAGTCAGACAGCTTTTTGGCTCATCAAGATGAGGTTTTGTAGAAACATAGTGCTGGATCAGCAAAATCTTTGTTGAATCACCCATCAGGAAAAGTGTGCATAGGGTACATTAAAATACAATCAGTTAGTCGTAGTCTTACCTTCCTGAGTTCTGAAGTCATCTTCAGCAAATTTATTAAAGTTGCCACACAACCCACAGGTCTTATTATAGTGCTTTTCTTGAAGGAGTATCTGAATATTCCCACTGATATCAATCTTCACCACAAAGCCATGCTCATCACTGGATATTTTATAATAACCTGCCTCCTTCTCTATAAATATGCCATTGGAGGCAAAAGGTATGGAAACCCTGTGAAGAAAAACAGAAATTTCTCAGAACATGACACATAAAAATCATCTTTTTTTTAGTGCCGGAATACTTGTTCCTACAGGTACCTTTTGTCTTCCTGCATCACATCTCCATCTAAAGCGAAGCGAAGATTGAAATATTCTCCGAGATACACTGAGAAACCAATTTTCTCGCCATCTTGGTAGTCGCCTGAAGAGATGAGACATAAGTAAATATTGTTAGCTCTGGAACTCGCGGGGACAACTTGTAAGTACACATTGCAGAGTTGGAAGTGTATCATCTAACATTTTCAAGAGCCACCCCATAGTCGTTTAATGTGAAATGGACAGATAGTCCCAGGATGAGGGTTGGCATCAAGCACTGGCAGACGCACAACCTGGCACTGGCTGTGGACTCACGTTCTCCCTGCTACCATCTCAAGCCAGTGAATTCTCCATCCTACCATGCATGCTGGAGGAGTTTCCACAGATGTGCCCAACGATCTGCCTTGCTCTTTCCCCTCCTCGTTTCCTCCCAAGAACAACCCATAGCTCAGTGGTAAGAGAAGGGAGTTGAACCCATTGAACTGATGAAAGAACTGAGCCTGGATATCTTCGTTCTTGATAAGCCCTCTAACCATCTCAACCAGTCTTTAAGGGGCAGATGCCAATATTGGCTATCCAACTGGAGGGGAACTGACTCTGAATTTTTCAAAAGGAGCAGCACACAGAGATGGAGACAACTTTCTTGGGCTCTGAGAGAGAAGAGAGTGGGGGGCTTCAGACATAGTCCTTTCTTGGCTTTTGCCCGTTGTCTAGCTTTGACTTTACAGCAGCTCATTGTGCAATGCACTGCCTGTTCTGGACCTCCTGCTCTGAGGTAACCAGCTCTGCCCAGACCTAGATGCTTTGCTCAGCAATGCAGATTGCACCTCACAGCCAGGCATCCAAAACCAAAACAAACCCACACACATATACTAAGATAGGAATCAAAAATAGATTATGCCATGCTTATGTGCCCAATATAAAGTGTCCGCTCAGTTGTGTTGTGTTTTTTTTAAAAAAAAAAGATTTAATTGATCACATAAAATACTGCAATCAATTCATACTTTACATGTGCTGGTGGGTTCTTCTATATACAAAAAATTTGTACCGAGTTGTTCAAGTTGGAAGAAGAAAATTACTGAAATTGGTACCTGGTTCCTTTTCAGAGTGATGGGATCAGTTTACCTCAATTTACTTGTAGTCAGTAAAAAGTTATCCTAAACTATGACTAATACAGAATAGTTATTAGTGAATATATGAATACCTACCAAAAGAGTTTGGTATGAAAGTAATACACAGTTTTGTTTCTCATATAATCTCTTGCCTGTCCCCAAGAATAATGCTGCAGAGAATCATGCTAATTCAAAGGCCTTTTGTCCTGCAGGATGGGATTTTTCTTACAAGGGCATAAAATACAGGTAAAATTAGTTCTACAGAGTCGTGTAGTACCTATTCCTGTCCTCAGGTTTAACAGCCACATTCCCCTAGCAAATTCAAAATTTAAAAAGGTGTCACTTGCCCTCTTTAGAAGAGCCAGTAAGAAAATCTGCATTCCTTGGCAGCTTAGTTATGTGTGAGCTATATCACCAAGGGATAACAGAAGCCAAAGCGAACAGAATTTCCTCAGAAGTAATCCCACCTTAAAAAAAAAAAAAAAAAAAAAAAAAAAATCCTTTTATGCAGTGGTCCATCCTATCTGACAAAGGGCAACTGTTTGTCTTTTCTTCTCAGTGATGGAACCTGGAACCTGGCACAAGTGCAATGCCACATCCTTACAACATTTTACATTTGTTACTTCTTGGTATGTCACTCAGACTCACCTAAGAGTGTGAAGGAGCGCTTGTGACAGTCCCCAGCAAGGAGGTAACTGCAGTCCCCAGCAAAATTGTAGAAAGAACCATCAAAAGTTTTGATGTGATCATTCCCAAAAAGGCTGCAACGGGAAACTGATGATTCCTGAAGCAAAGAACCTGATGATCCTGGATATCAAAACACAACAAAACTTGCAATGTATAACAATCATTTTGTAGTTCAGGAATTTATCTGCTGGAATTTATCACCATTGATCATTGCATGTCCTGGATCTTTAGCTCTAGCTTCTAGGCAGACTGTATGCCTGGTATGACAGTCTAAGGATGAAGCACAGACTTTTTTTGTTATATACATTACCGAAATGGCTTTTTTGCTTTATTTCTACTGGCCCAAACCTTGCATGGGTAATATCGATCCTGAACCTTTAAGTAATGCCATGCGTTCATTCATTTGTGCCTGCCTGTGCAATCTCGTTAAAATTAGTAGGGCAGTAGCAAAGCCCCATGGCTTGTTCAGCCAAACATCGCTGACTTCAGGGAGTCTTTGTAACTCAACACAGTGCTTGTTGCAAGGTGAAGAGCCAAAAGGAGTAACTTTATTGATGTCTCCAGTGTGATGAGAATATTGCCTGAGCCAAGGTTGTAGGATTAGATGAGCAGAAAGAGGCGAGGGACGGGAAATTTCACAGAAGAAACAGTGAAAACATATTATAGTTCCTAGACATCTGAAAATAAACATGTTTTCTTACCTGAAACTACAGTAGCCAGCAGCAGGTTTGTTAGCAGCACTGCCAAGAGGAGCATCTGTCAAAAATCAAGAGAGAGAGATTAGAATATTCTTAGTTTGAGGTGTTTAGTCTGTTTCACAAAACCTCTCCATTTTCTATCCTTTCTTTATAAAGTCATTTTTGAGGTTCTACAACATTTCAGAAAGCCGTAATCCATGCAGACTTCCACAGTAATTCAGTTACCCACCCATGCTTCTTTAAATAGGTAATCTAGGAGAATAAATATTCTTTGTTCCCATTTTCACTTCTCATTGCAGGGAAGCGTGGGCTACCTCCACAGGAAGTGCAACGCAACATAGACACATATTCAGATTTACCCGAGTTAATACATTGCACACACAAAACCCTTCAATACACAGCATTATTTATCAGACAAGCTGACATGAAGAAGCACACCAGACTGCATCAGCCAACTTGGCTCCAGTAGAAGTCACCTCTGCCGCCCAAGATTTGCATCCTGCCCAAACACCCACAAAGGGAAAGAATATATAGGTTTTGCACCAGCCAGCAGGTCTGGCTGGCAGACCATTATAACCACATGCTTATAATCCACTGATTTCAGGGTGATAATATGCTTGAGATAAGGGGCAAGAAGTAAAGGCAGGAAATTGTGCAGAGATTAGAGACCCAGGGTGAAAACTTCCCATTCACCAAAAGTCAGTTTTAGCATTGCCTCCTGCTTCCTACAACCAAAACGTCAGCCTTTGTTCACCCATATGTCTATAAAGTCCCTCCAGTACTGCCAGGCCTTTAAAAATAATAATAGGGTATGAGTGTCATGCAGACGGTGAACTACAGATGCATTCTGTGGCACGACATTAGCAGTAAATGGATGAAAGCTGTAGGGAGCTCCATCTAATTGAGCTAATTTCAGTGATCATATAAGCAAATAGAGAGGCTTAAATATACCGTACTTTAATATATTAATGCCAGGAGACCAGGCACACCTTTCCCTAAAAGAACCCTCCGATTAAAGATTAGAATACATTTTGCAAAGGCAAATTCTGATTTCAGTTGACAGACACACACTTCTTATTGATGTCAATCATGTAAGTCCAGTTCACAGCCACATAAATAAACGCTGAGTTTGCCTTATTTACAAAGGACGTGAAAAGAAAGATCTATTATAAAACTCAGTCTAATATAATGTTGCAAATGCCAATCTGACATAAGGCTGTTACTGCTGCAAGATAGCTAAGAAGTGGCAACTGCATGGGAATGCGACTACAAAGTACTGCTAAAGAAAACAATAGGCATTATTCTCAGATTACACACTTGCTAGTGTATTTTTAGTGCATGCACTGTGTTATTGTGGCCAAATCAGATATTGCTTTTCTTTGTTAACCTTTCAGTTTTACAAAGCACGCAAAGAAAAAAGACAGGGTATAAAACCCTTCTCTTCAGCCCCCTTCCACCTCCCAGTCTGTTCTAAGCTGCAGACTTGAAGTTTCCCCCAATTAATTCTAATAATGCAGGTGCCACTAACAAATCAGAATACAATCAAATAAGATCTGCCAGTATATAACCCTCTATAATTTTATCACTGGCTTAATGAGAAATGAATGTACCTTCTCCTGTGTGAGATTCCTTTTGCACATGAACAAGAAGCTCCTCCAGTTCCCACCTGTAGCCTACACCACCATTGTTCCCGTGTGCCTTCAGAAGACAGGACTGGAATGGCTTCGGTCTGAAATTTCTTGTTTTTGTACAAGCCAGGAACTCTTGTCCATTTGAAAGGAAAGATAAAGACCAAACGTCACATCCGTCTGATTCTCAAGACAATAGATTAAACCGCTATCGTGTAAATCAGTAACCTTAATCGCCAAAAAGTTACAATGAGGGGAAATAGTTTTAAAAACTTACATGACAGATAAGTCTTTGAAATTTATTTCACATGTGTATGTGTGACAAATCTCACTGGCTGAGCCAATAGGCAGCATATTTGTTTCGAAGACTATTGTTAAAGAGGAATAGTAGGATGCTCCATACCTCAAAGACCACAGAACCATACAGTATTTTTTCCTGCAAACAACTGCTTTAAAGGAGAAAGAAGAAAAAAATTCAGAGCTAGTAATGACCTGGTTTTGTTCTGCAGGTACAAATACGTTTGAATTTTGTCACATTCTATTAGATCAACACATTCGGTCCTTGAATTTGCAAACGTTTATAGAGGTACTCTCTGAAACAACACATGGTAACAAGATAATCATGCACATACTTGTTTACAGAGGTGGGCACAAGCTTTGCGGGCATACGTACAGCCCTGAGCAAAAAAATGCAGAGCAGATGACATCTTACTTTACTTTCAATGTCCCATGCTTCATATTTTCAACAGATACTAGTAATAACAAAAGGGTTAGGAAGCAACATGTTTCTCCGTAAATCATATTTTGCCTCTAGTTCACAGAATCACATCCTTTCTTCAAAGCAAGAAAAACAATGCAGAACAATAAAAATATGCCTCCCAAGAGTCCCCAGCAGGTATGTCTGCCTTGTACACAAGCCATTCTGAGTATGATCCCTGCACACAACTCTTAGAAAACAAAAAAAGAGAAAACAACCCAACACATTGTAATATAATTTCTTCCTATAGGCAATTTCCCTTATGATTTCTACGGATGACTATGTTGATACCTGCAGAATGGCGCTGGATTACTTTTGAGACAATGTAGGTGATGAGTCTGCTTAGGTTGAGAAGTTACAAATAATAAATTGTTAGCCATACTTACTTTGTCTTGCATGAACTCTTCATGACATCTGCATGTTAAAATGCTATAGAGCTGCACTACAGCTACCGAGTGACAGAAAGAAACATAGACCAACTTGTTTCTCTCCACGTGAAAAGCCATAGAACAAGATTTGAAAACGAACACTTTCCATCAGGATTTTCTTGGCCAGATGCTCCTGCCTTTTCTCCAGCAGCAGTAAGGTTTGTCTCGCACACATTCATGGCAATGTAAGGCCCATACCTGACAGCAGTTGGGAAAATCCTGGGAAACATGTAAGAAAATGCCCTACATGGGCAGAAACTTGGTGTCCGCTACAGTCACAGCCTTTGCTGAGCTCCACAGACATCCCTGCAGTGTGGGGCAATCCTAGCAATCCCTGCCGCTGCAGTAAAGTACCAGGAAAGGACAATAACATATCCCCCTGGAAAAAAAATACAAGTCAAAGCTTTAAAAACTGTTTCTTTGGCACTTTTGCATTAGAGGATGCAACAGCAAAAGCTGGGAACCTCTAGACAGAGGAACCAGTAAGTATGGAGGCTCTGACCCTGCTGAAATCTGCAGGCCAGGGTTTAGCCCAGTCTAAACCTGACATGACTCTATAGAAGAGAAGGGCTAAAAACCTTTCATGTCAAACTGCCTTCAAGGCTGAAGTTACAGCTGAACAAGCAGAAATGGGGCAACAGCAGAGACAACAGGCAAGATGCCTCTTGTTTTCCTCTTAGTTTCACTTCTGCTTCTGGTTTTGTACGAAGACGAAGGAATAGCGTTGACTGGGAATCCTTCTCTCCTTTTGGGTCCAGCTGCCAGTTCTCAGCAGGTCCTTCATACCTCTGAGAGCCTGGGCATTAGTGACCACAGAGAGATGTTCTCAAAGCCTTTCATTACAGGAACCCCAGTATTATTCATGATATGGGGAATAAGATGTCCTATCACCATGGGCTTTTGTCTTCTCCTGAGTTTTAATCCCTTCAGTGCCTGAGCCCCAAATAAGTCACTGCATTTGGCAACGTCCTCTTGCAAATCTAAATCTAACAGGTAGCTTTGATTCACGCTTTTTTGTTTGGCACATACAGAAGACAGAGTGAGAGTCCCTTAAAAATATCCCTTAAAAGTAGAAACATTGCTGGTTTTGTTCCGTAGCAACTTCTTCCTTGTTATTACAAAAAGGGGCCAGTTCCTCAACAATACAGGATTGTTTAGTCTGTAACCATGATGGATGGCCAAGGTCTTCCTTTATTAGCTTTTGTGCCACTGCCTTCACACCCGGACAAGCTTTATCTGGAGAGAGCAAACCGCACAAAAAGTCTGAGCCCATCCAAAGGTGCGTCGGAGAGGATCAGGCTGCAGGTGGGCAGGTTACTGAACTTGGGCTGAGCCTCTGAGGTCCGCAGGTGCCCATCTGCACGATCAGAGCCTTGGTCGACTCCGAGTGATGTTTTGTGACTTGCACTTCCAACGTTTAATAGATGGTTCAGATAAGCCAGACATCATGACACCTCTTATGTGTCTGAGGGACCCTGGGGGACAAAACAAAGAAAATTAATTGAGATATAGACACCCAAAGAACAAACTTCCTTTTTCCCTCCTGGCTCTGCTTTCTCCCCCCAACAAAGGAAGTGGTAATTAAAGAGCGCATTTATTGGCTGATGTTGTACATTGTTCCAATACAAAGCTTAGTGATGCTTGGGTAGATCTGACATATAATTTTACAAATAACACAATTGAGACACAGGATAAAATACATAAAGGACTATGCACTGTTCCTGGAAAGCCCCCTGTAGCCAGTTCCTGGAACAAAATCTGAAGGAATTCTGAGAAGAATTACATTGCTTTTTATTGCTTTGTTGAAATACTAAGTCACATGCAATAAGTCCAATATTTCCCAACAGTTATGTGATAATATGTACTGAGGCATTAGACAGCATGCCATGCTTGTCATTGAGTTTGTGACACAAATAGATACGCAAAGCACCCGTATTATGAAACGTGCAATTCTGAGTGTAGGAACAGCGATAGAACATACAGGGCCCGAGCAACAAAAAACAGCCAAAATAGCTTGCTGTAGGTAAACTGGAAAACCGAAGCCTCGCAATACTGAATTCTGATTCTGCGCTTAGGAACTGGTAAATTAGATAAGGCTATGGAAGCAACACAGGATGTCACTTTAAGACTACGTGAAAGATGCAAGCATCTGCTGTAAGAGAAATTCACCTTACTTAAGGAATAAAATACCAATGAGGTTCAGTAAAAAAGAATTCTAAAGAAAATTTTGTTAAGAGGGAAATAAGTCAATCTAGGATGTCAACACATAAATCTTAATAGAGTCAGCTAATCTCAAGATTTCAGCCTGATTCTGGCCCTGCTGTAAGCATGCTGAGTTGAAGTACTCTATTTCGGACAAAGTTTGTTTCTGTAAGCATCACTTAATTTCTGCAGGCAAAGGCATTGATTGATTTTCTGAGGTCTAAAAAGTGTTCTTAGCATCTTGAGTAAACTGAAATCCCAAATGCCACATCCTGAGATGCCACAGAATAATCGAAGGATGACGTACTTTGAAACGTAGGAAATGTTGGAACAGAAAACATGTCTTGTGAATCAGCAGAAAGTTCTCAAGCAGAGATTCATGGGGAACGGAGCCACACTGCTTCATTGCTCAGATGTAGTCAAAGAAGTGAAAGAATTGCAGGAAATGGGTAAGAAGAAAAAAAAAATCATTGTGAAATCATAAATACAAAGTACATTCTAATCTTGAACACTGTGCTCTCAGCCAGTATCTCAAAAACTGTGACATTTTTAAGGATAGAAAACGAAAAGATAAAACGATGATTAGAGGTAGGAAGCAAATTCTCTGTAAGGCAAGGAAATTTCCAACCTTAGAAAATCAGAGAAGGAAAGCATGAGGAGCACCTACCATATCACAAAGGGCACAGAGAAGATAAATAAGAAATAAGTATTCATCAGTTCTCCCAGTGTAAAGGATGGGAGCAGTCAATGAAATTCTCAAGGAGCTGCCTTTAAAGCACATAACTGGAACGCCTCAGCACAGGTCACGGTGTCAAAAAGGAGTCAGACAAACTAATGAATGGCTGGTCCATCACAGGGACGGATCAAATCACAGGGATCAAATGATGAATCAGGTAGAGCTTGTGGCTTAGAAAGTCTTTACCCTGTTGAATCCTTTAATGTTACACTTCATTTCTTACAACTCTTGCCTACACAACAGCTGTTAGCCACCAGAATGCTATTTTTTGGTTTAAAACAAAAAAAAAAACAAAAAAAAAAAACAAAACCCCCACCCCCCACAAAAAAAAAAAAAAAAAAAAAAAAACCAAACCCCCCCCCCCCCCAAAAAAAAAAAAAAAAAAAAAAAAACAAAAAACAAAAAAACAGAAAAACCCCAAACAACAACAACAAAAAACACCAAAAAACACACACCCAAAGAAACTAGACAGCTTGCTTTATCCCAGTCTGCAGGAAGGTGTCTCTCCATGGTTTTTCACAACTGAGATTCATATTAACTTTTCCATTAGTGATCCAACAGTCAAACTCGGCATAAGCAACAATGAATAAGCTAAAACAAGAATCTTTGCAAATAGTCCTGAAAATAAGAGCATCCCATGACAGTTCCTAAAAGCCCAGAACAGCAGACCAGAAATAACACAGGGCATAGGCTTAGCAAAGTTACTTCTGCATCCCCTTCTAACTTCCCCATGCCCAAGGGTGGGGAGGTGGGAATTTTCAAAAAAAATCCCACACATGGGAATATCAGCTGGCAAAGCCCACATAACCCTGTATTTGAACCCTTCCCTTTGGAATATTTAGGCTACTGTACTCCTTCAAGGAAAAAGGCGAGGTAGACGAACAAAGCACACTAGTACTGAAACAGAGTATTGACCTTTCTCACGCAAAAATACCTTGGAT